TCCTCCTCCTCCTCCTCCTCTGGATCTCAGCCTCACTGACTCCTCACACCTCCTCCTGCTCCTCTCAGTTACCTTCAGTCCCCGGTGATTGGCTTCAACACACCAGAATGTCGTAGTCAGGCTCAAACGTCGCTCATAACTGGATTTTCAGTACATTCGCTCAAATTCCTCAGAGGATAATTTTTAAAGGTTTTGGCAACGTTTCCTTTAACACCACCATCAGTCAGTTCTGTGACTAGATATTTACTGCTAAGTGCTGAATGTCCATAAAATCTGCTGTGAATGTTTATGTCCCCAGTGGAGGATTATTGACAATTTTAGCGACATCTTAACATTTCCTCTAATGCCACCATTGGGCCAACATTTCTAAGTTTAAAAGTCAGATCGAGATGAATTTCACCGAGCACATTAACTGTCCCCAGAGGATGAACCCTTTGTATTACTCTGTGAACTTTCCGGCGGTGCCTACTTCAAGTTAAAACCTCCACATTTTTGTCTGTGACAAGATATTTCAGAAACGAAGTTCCATAAAAATCTGCAGGGGATATTCAAAGTCCCCAGAGGATGAATCTACCACTATAATTGAGCCAGACATTTTTTTCTTTACTTTAAAAAGATAAAAATCTGAGGCTCAGATAGTCGTAGATTTGACTGAACACTTTCTATTTTAGACTTCATTAATTTCCCTCAGATTGATCCACAACATAGAAAAAAGCCCAAATTCTAAAAAAACCCTCACTCTCATGAAAGTTGAGCTGAGAAAGTTTTCAAACATTTATTTCAAGGTTACCTCTTTTGTGTGTGACCATATGGGAATTTAATTATTTCCGTGTTCAGTCGCGTTGGATTTTATTAAATTTTCGACCTTTTTGGCCGTGACCTTCAAACGTAAAGTTACTTGCTACTTTCGTCAGATGCTCCTCGTTGATTAAACCACCAAAGACACATTTCCCAGACATTTGGCTGTAAACTCTGGGACCTGGGCTGCGTTTGGACAGCAGAGCGTGTTGGGAGGAAGGCGATGGAGGCAGCTGGGCAGGTGGCCTCCGTTTCCCACGAGGCTCTGCGTTTGCAGCTTTGAGAGATGAAGCCCGTCAGAGTTAGCCAAACAGCGCTAATGCTCTCCCCAGAAAGCCTCCCCATCCAAATGCTAACAAGAAAGCAAAAGCCGGCTGTGTTTGTGTGCATTTTGAACAGATGCTCTGGCTGTAAATACGGGGGGGAAATGCCATTTGTTTTCATTTTGTTGCATTCAGGGGAAGGAGGGGAGGATTATGTGGTGAGAGAAAACAGTCATTCAGATGCAGCAAATTCAGTCCGTCCTTTTCTCCGAGTGAGCCGATCTTTATCTTCTGCAAACCAAATATTTGTATTTTAGGAGCGGAGGACAAACACGCACAGTGTGCCGGCTGGCGACACAGAAACTGCTCAAAGTCTTCTGAAGCACGAACCGAGGGCTGCGCGGTCGAACCGAACGCCATCGCTTCGTCCAATCAGCCGTTCTGTAACCTTGATGTGCACTTTTTAAAACCGTCGTTACCTTAGAACTCTTATTTTAGTTTCATTTAATTCTGACAAATCAGCAGCGTTCAGTCATCGTAGAACCCGAAAGATTTTACCTGTATGTTTATTAAAGAGACTGAAACCGGTTTGAGAGGGAACGCTGCACGAAAGCTGCCGTCATCAAACAGTAACTTTATTAAATGTTCTTTAACATGTTCAATAATTTAACATTTACATTGGCAACTCATTAATTGCTGAGAGCTGCTTCTTCTCTCTCTGCAGAGACACCAGTATAGTACCACAAACATAGTTTTCTGCTTTATATGCCAGATATCATATACACTGATACCGATGTGTGATAGGTCTTCCTCTCAAAACTCTGCACTGTATATTAAAATGCAACTCTGGAGTGTCAGATTTCAGAGATTAAACCACAAATCCATTCTGAAATATCGGTGTAACTGACAGTTTATAGCAGCACAGGGTGCGTTTGCAAGTGGTTGTCTTTTAGGACGGTGCCAGTCGGGACATTCTGGACTGATACCGACATGTTAGTCTCATTACAGCTCAGTCTGTTTCTCTTCTGTTTCAATTAGCTAACTTAAAGGTATTGTATGGTACTGGTTTGTTTTCATTGGTGTTTAATCACCTGAAAATAACAGTAGTTGTGTTTTCGTTACCTTAGAATGAGACGTTTGTATCTACACAGGGAGCGAGTCCTCTTCTAGTTTAGATTTAGTGTTAATTAATAGGCTTGAGTTGAATATGGCTGCAGCTCCTCGAGGAATGTGAGTGTTAATATGACTGTGGAGTGGAATTATTCATCTGAATATCATCAATGTGGAACATGCAGCGCTGTTATTAAAGAACTCGCAGGGTAATCAATAAAATGTAGCGTGGGACTGTATTATTGCACCGACGGCAGCAGCTGATTTTCATCTGCAAACTTTCCTCCTCTGTCTGATCCGCTTCACGCTGCAGTGACTCCTTCCCCTCGCCCACCCTGCACTTTAACAAACACTAACAAAACACCAGCCAAACCTCTGGAGGCAGAAACGCCGCCGTGCCATCACAGCTGGACCGCTCCCAGCCGGCAGAGGAAGACCTGCGACTGTCTGTCATCTGTAATCTAATGGATACACGTGGAACCGTCTGGGGACCCGAGCCTGCCTCCGGCGGGGCGGGTGGTTCGGTTAGAGAGAGAGGAGTGTGCGTGGATAGTCAGATAGATAAATAGAGGAAGATTCATTCGGTATGCATTGCTTTTCACACTGGGGAAATTTATAAGCAGAGTGCTGATAGTTTCCAAATCAGTTGCACTCGGGAGTTGAGCGGCGTTGCGTCAGAAAGAGATTACTGCACTGCAAAGCCCCGAACCGTTTTACAGCGTCTGAACACTGCGTTTTACCATCAGCGCGCCGTGTCCGGGCTTTCCTGCAGGTTTATTTCAGTTACTGCAGAGGATTTTCAGTCTGAGGCTGCCACAGTCCTCAGCAGGAGCAATAACTGGAGGAGATGACCTCTACTACAGCATTAACACTACAGAGGGGCTGGGAGAGGAAGCACTCACTCAGAGCAGCCGAGCAGATTTAAACCACGGCTGCCCTCTCTCCATTTCCTCTGGGGTTGTTTTAAAATGCACAACCAGTGGCGCTCAGGAGAAATATACGTCTACCTTGAAAGTGACTCTTCCTAAGCCCCGCCCCTTTCAGCTCTGTGCTCTAATAAAAACATACCTATGAATATCATATTTCTGACAATAGATCCTCCTCACTGGACCTTTTTAAGGGACTCTGATAGCAGAGAGAGAGTTTCCCACCGAGGTCGACTCCCGTTACAGAGCGGCCCTGCGCAGACGCACGTTCACAAACGAGTCGGTCTCAGAAAGAACAGACGTCTGGCTGCAGTTCTGACATTTAGAAAAGAGAGTTTTCTGACCTGTTGGGGGTTCCTGTTCCTGTTCTATTATCCGGGATTTATTGACCTTTTTTTTCATCATCAGGAAAAAGCTTCTTGGCATTAAGAGCTTGTTGTACTGAGGTTTTCAAGGTGTTAATGGTGGTTAGTTTTTTCAGTGTTGACCTTAATATGTCTGCTGACTCCAGTTTAATATGACCACTGTTTCTAATTAATGATCAGCTCGTCTTCGTGGTGTTATTGGATTTTCAAGGTTTTGGCATTAGTGTGATGGAATATATTGATTTTCTCTGTGATATTATCGACTGTTATTAACTAAAACACACTCTGGTTACTTTATCTAACAGCTTTGCAGCTAAATGTCCAGAAATGTTATAATGTTGGTTATAAAATGGTGTTTTTATATCCAGTCCACTATGTATTTCTGTTGTTACATTTGATTCACTTGTTTTTTTCCTTCTGTGTTGCAGAATCAGACGTTGTGCAAAGGCCTCAATGAACTTCAAAATGGACAGGTATGGAGCTGTTCTCTTCACACTGCACTGATGATATGCACTTTATATATTTACAATATTCTACAGTGGTAGACTGTTTGTCTTAGAGAGAAACTAGTACCCTTACAGAAACGTGTATAGAGCTGAATGTACCAGTAACAGCTGCAGAAAGTTAAAATACTCTGTTACAAGTTGAAGTTCTGCATTTCAGATGCTACCGAGCTGTTATCATGTGCTTCCAGTATCACAGGTGTCAATGTTCGAGCAGCATTTTACTGCTGGAGCTGCTTCAGGTGGTTTGAACTACTTTATATACAGTTTAGTTCAGTGACAACATGGGGGTCGGGGTCTTTCAAAGGGGTCGTCAGATGATTAAAGTGTGATCTTACATAATAATCTAAACTAAAATAACTGTTTCATTTAGTTTTCTTCACAGAAGTGAACCAGACGTAGACCTACTGTGTGTATGTTTTAAGTTTTCTTACACCCTTAAAATCAGCTGCTGCTTATCAAAGAGGAGAAAATCCTCCTCCTCTCCCTCCTCCTCTTCCTCCTCGTACGTGAGGTTTGAGACGAGTGAGTTCCCTTCGCGTCGGCCTCTGCGGGATCGCAGTTCATCTCTGTCCTCTTCCAAAGTGACAATAAGCGTTTGTGACTGCAAGAAAAAATGCTGAGGAATGTAAATGGCTTCTTTCAAAGAGCGGAGACAAAAGGGCGGAGAGAGAGAGGAGAGATTCATTGCGCGTCAGTTTAATTTCAGAGCCGCGATTCATTACGGAGAGGAAGTCGATTTGTCCTCTTGTTGCGGGCCCTCACAGAGCATGCACTGAATAAGAGCTCTGCAAAAAAAAAAAAAACCTAATTAAAACGAAGTTTGTGTGTGATGGGTGGATAATTGTTGCGAGGCATCAGCGTGTGTAATTGAGGCTGAATTTGTTTTACAGGTTTACCTTGTAAATGGGTAGATTTGCATTTTTTCCCTCCTCGGCTGCTCATGGCGGGACTGTTGTGTCCGATCTCTTTCACACGCCACAGTCAAATAATCGGTGTGTTTTTCCTCCTGCTGCTGTTAACCAGAGGAGGTAATTAAAACGGCTTCTTGAGACTCTAACAACTGTCAAAGATGCCCACAAAAGAGGGTTTTTTATGTTTTTCAGAGCTAAAATCTCTGGAGGTGCTGACGTGGAAGCAAACTGCCGTCAGCCATATTAGCAGATAAACACAAGTTTGTTGTTTTTTTGTGGCTAAAGACTCGCTGAGTGGCTGCCAGGGTCCTCCTCCAGCCAAGTAATGAAGAGTACACTGTGCAACACCTTCCTTTGTTACCTCCCTAAGGCATAATTAGACACAGGCAGAGAGGGAGATCAATTCTCAACATCATAATAGGACACAGAGTGAAGCTGTTAAAGCGTCCTCGGGAGAGTTCTCAGAGGTTCTGCAGTGTTTAACAGCCAGTCATCATCAGGGGAGGCAGCCACTGTCTGACTTCCCTAAAAACACAGTGATTCAAGGCCCAACGAGCACTTTCGACCCTCCTTCATCCTGGGTTTTCTCCAGCACCTGTGTGGTAGGGAGTCACACTGAGACAGATCATCACATTAAGGACAATTTACATACTGATTGTTCCTGGAAGAGCCTTTGACTTTAGAGAATATTCATCCTAATGAATCAGAAAGTGATCTTCAGATATCACTGAGTTGAGATGATCTGTTTGGCTTCGTGATCTGTGCCTCTTTAAATCCCACGAGAGCGCTTCAGAGCGTGTTGCCTCCCCGCCGTTGTTTACTTGTGTATTTTGTTCTTAAAAATGTGTGTTTCTCCACTTCTGATGCCACACTGGGAGAAATCTCGTGCTACTATCTATGTCCTGCATGATGACAGAAATTTTATTTGTTGAATTTAGTTTAATGAGGGGAAACTGGTGTGTATCAGGTGTCAGGTATGTTGTCTCTTTACTGTCCAAAACTTTCATATTGTAGCGCTCATGTTTGGGTCAATGTCGGGACTTTTGTTGCTATCATGTTGATGTCAGTGGAAATGTGGTCTAATAACTAATAATGGATAGAAAATGGCTCTGGTTGTAGTTGGTTCCTACTTTGGGATTTGTTGAATTCTTCAGGTGTTGTCGGCTTTTCGGAAGTAGCTATAAACTTTTAGCAAACAGAACTCCCTGAATCAACCCATAATTTCCAGTTTTCTGCCTATAGTTAATGATCTTTTTATCAGTTTTCCACTCTCAGCTCTCCTCGTATGAACTCTTTATGACGTTCCTGTGCCGGCGATCCACCACGTCTCGGACTAAATCACCACCTGCTATGAGCAAATTAAATATTGACTCGTCGTATTGACTTGTAGATCTAATTTGAAGTGATTGCGGATGAGCAATAATGGCGCAGAAAAAAAGAGTCGCTGTGACGGCGAGCGGCCGGGTGGTAATTGGCTGTGTGGAGCGAATCATTGAGTTGGAGAGGGAACTAGTTTAGGCAGAAGTCAGGGTCACTTTGTGTGCTCGGTGTCCTGTATTTCATGATTCAATCAGCTGCAGAGAGGCTGAATCAAAAGAGAAAAAAGATTGAAGGAGTGAAGAGAAAGTGATTGGAAAGGTTTGTATGGAGGGTTCAGAACCAGCTGAGGGGATGGCGGCAGCGACGGTCGGTGGGGTGGATGAAGAAGAGGGGAAATAAATGAAAGAGAGTGGCTCTTGTTGATGGGAGGCCCACGCTGCCGTCCGAATATCCTCCACCCTCCTCCAGCGAGCCCCGTCGCGATGCAGAGCCTCCTTCAACTGGAGAGGAAAACTCATCTCAGACGCAGCGTTGCAGAAACGGAGCGTCTTTCATTCAGATCCACTCTGTCAATATTTACCCGCTGGCCTCAAATCAAATACACTGATGGTGAAAGTCGTCACACTCGGCGAGGCAAAAAGGAGGAGGAAGCAAGAGAGAGGAGAGGGGCAATGTGCTGCTACACACCTCCTCTATAAACTGTGATAGGAAGGTTTCAGACAGGAGAGCATTTGAAGCAAGTTTCATGTGTCCATAAACTTTCGACCATGTACTTTGTGTAGCTCTGAGGTTTCCTGTGGACCAAACTTACCTTGATGCTTCAGGTAGGATGAAGTCTGCTCCATATTGCAGTCCAAACAAAGACAAAGTGACACGTTACTGTTTCATTTGACAATAAGGTCTGTTTTATACAACAGAGCCAACAGATTGCTATATCTAAAATACAACCATAGATGGATAAAAAGATTCAGAAAAATAAACTGACACTTAAAGAGCTGTCAGTCTGTTACTGCTCTACCTGAGTCTTACTAAGTGCCTCCTCCATGCCTTATAATATAGGAGCAATAATGAGGAAAACCTGGGGAGTAGCCCTCAGCAGTGATCCATATTAGAGTTTCATAAAGAAATATAAAAGTTAACTGAGCACAAGAAGATAAGAAACTGTATATTAAATAAGGCAACAAAGATTTTCAGTTACACTGAAATGAGAAATGTGGCTCCTACAAAAGTGTCTGAATTGCGCTGTTGTGTAATCTCTTCAGCTCTCTTCGTCATCCTCGGCCGACATTTTGTTTGATTCATCTGACATCTCAAAATCTTGACTATACGATGTCAAACACTACAAATACATACATGTTCATTGGAAATAATTGAATAATAATAAAATAATTGAAAAAGTTGTCTTCCTCTTTACAGCAAGACAAAGATGGTAAAACAAGTCACAGATGACTCTGAACCAACACATAGGCTACATTAAAATACAACACACTCCTCCCTATTATTAGCAAACAGATTTAAGTTTAGTAATGTATAACAGAAAGAGCAGAGGACCCAGGACGCTTCCCTGTGGCACACCACAGTTGATTCCTTTAGCCTTGAATAAAGTGCTCTTAAACTGGTCCTCCAATTGGCTTTCTTATTCAAAGGAAGGTCCCTATTGAGCTATTGTGACCTTTTAGGTTTACCACAGCCTCATGAAACCGTACAACCACAAACTAGAGACTAGATATATTGATAATAAAGCCATTTCTGAGCAAAGTGCTCGCCATCCAATTGACGAAAAATGCAATTCTGACAGAAACCTACAGAAACGTTTGGAAACCAAATCCCAGCATTCAGTTTTCTTTATGGTTTTTAAAGTTAATGTGGTATTTTGGAGGTTTGAACGTTTTTGACAGTTTTAAGTGGTCAAAAATTTTTAGATTTGCCCCAAATCTGTGTAACAAATGGCATCAACCCAAAAACTGCTGCAACAACTTGGCATCATATACTGCAGTCATAATGTTCTTATACACTCTAACAGATTCATGACTAGAAAAACTTGCATCTTGAATGAATGTTCAGTTTTTCAGCTTTATGATGATGTACATCACTTCTATGTGGCATATACTGTTGAGACACCATCAGATATCAAAGAAGAAGAAGGTCTTCAGGTTCACGTCCAGTCTGGTCTCAGACTCGCGGCTTTAATTACTCACCATATGCCGAGTCTGCCGCCAACATTTGGTTAACCACGACCTCTCTGTCTGGACAAAACGCTTCATTTGCATCCGACATTTTTCACTTTGAGCAGCCGTCGTTAGCTTGACTATCTGCTCTCGGCACGTACTGGCAGGGAGCGCGATCAGTCAGGCTTCACCGGTTAGAGGTTATTGTAAGATGTGGTTGAGTAAATGGGAAACAAAGACTGATGACAGGCTGCATAAATACATCTTTAAAACATCAGCAGCATCACCGGCTCTGCTGGTCCAGGTCTGGTGTTTGCAGCCGCAGGGACGTGTTTGATTTTGTAGTTGAATAATCGTTTATGAGCAAAATAGAGAATTATTTTCGGCTCACAGACTCTAGATCATAACTTTATTATCTTATTATCTCAACAAATGAGAAAACTTTCTTGTTACAACTTCTGTCACCGTCTTGAGATTTGAAACTAGATTTTATTATAAGATCTTCAACCCAACGTAATAATTTACTGTTACATTATCTCGAAGCACCAGATATCGCTTTTTTATTCCT